CTGTGGATTGTACCACCAGCAATGTTGCCTCTAAGCTGTGGAGTCTTGTGAGCAAAAATTCTACTTTGTGAGCTACTGGCATTAAAGTTGTGAGCAAGTGATTTGGCTACTGTATCAATTAGTTTGCTCTGGAACCATCCTTCCTGAGCTAAGATAAAATGTGTGAGCCAGAGGCTAAAAAACTGTGAGCTAGCTCACACTAACTCAGCTTAGAGGGAACACTGCCCAGGTATATGACATATTATCAATTTGCTGCACATATTACCCTGTCGTCATTTCCTTGTTTTCTACTGCTGTAATACCATTTTCCCTATACTGATTCTGTATCATGCCTAATATGCTGTTCTGAGAAGCAGTAAACCTTGTCTTAGTATATTGTACCTTCATCCACACTATGTAATCTGCTATTAGTCTCAACAAAAAAGGCATACTATAAATAAAATAAACATGTGCCTCCATATGTGTTCTGCTTAAGTGATAGCCCTCCAATGATTAGCGATGGCTGTTTTATTTAGTGACATGAGCTTTGGACCCCATTATTTTTGGTATAGATTAAATGGTTTCTTTTGAGAGGAGGGAGCTGATACATGGGGTGACCCCGTATTACGGTAGGATGGACATGAACTTCTTGATCCCCCTGTGTTTCTGTATTTTGTGTAACATGGGTGTTGGATTCTACTAGAGAAGCAGAATAATGGATCGTTTCAATGATGAACGCAACATTTAAAGTATTTTCTAAGCAATGTTGTGAGAGCCTCAGATCAGCATGTTGACTTTTTTGTCTTTTTAAAAAAAAACTAAAATATTTTTGATTTGATTCATTTTCTAGGTGAGGATGATGGCAGAGACCAGTCCAAACTTGAAACTAAAGTTTGGGGAGCATTTAATCCACTAATAGACAAACAAATAGACCAGTTCCTTGTAGTAGCACGGTAAGGATTAAGATCTGCTAATTTTGTCTCAAGCTGCTGATTTTCTTTTTTTGTCAGCTGTTCTACCAATCAAATATTTTCTCTGTCTCAGGGAAGAAGTACTGTTTGCTGCTCCACTTGCTTGCTTTAAAAAGGTGTGCCCCTCAGGGTAGTTTTAATGTCAATCAGTAGTATTGTAGGCAGTTCCTTAGTAATGGTTCAACTTACTAGTTAAGCATGCTCTTCTGACACTCCACATTTTCTGCTAACCTCTCCCACTTACTGCTCCCCCAAAGTCTTAATGAATTGAAATGAATTTCAAAAGCATGACTTGTAGTATATGTATGGATGCATTTTCAATAGTCAGTGGACTGTAGGAATCACTCCAATGTTCCCTCTAATTCCCCCCCCCCCGAGCAGAGCAGTTCACATCCTGAGCAAAATATAACTGCTGTTATCTTAAAATGGGCAATGGGCAGATTGCTGCTGAGCAGGGCTTCTGTGTTGATGAGTGGCCGCTCACATGCACAGCTTAGAGGGGACACTGGTGTAGCCATAAACTGCCAAAGGTGCTTGGTACCAGATCTCCCCATTTCAGTCTGCTGCATCAAAAAGAAACATTTCTGTGTGGAAATCTCTGTGATAGGACAGTGATTGTTCTCTTTACTATCATTTATTTGTAAGTAAGACTTTTTTGGTTTGTTTGCAAGTTTGCAAAGTTGACATAAAAGCCTGTTTTGGAGATTGTGTTGCATGAGAAGGTTTACAGACAGGTCCCTGGAGCTGTTTTTAAGGCATTATAGTTATCCATCTCTCTCTGCAGGCTCTTCTCCCATTTCATTATGGATTCAATCTGTGTTGCATCTACAGCTTATGGAGGCTTGTCTTTGATTGGTATCAGTTGATTGGCTTTTTCATCAAGAGCTTGGGCATCTGAACATGAACATGATGTTGCCAAAGCAACTGAGTGATGGCATCTTTTATCATTGTCGTCCTGTTGGGACTACAAGTTATTCCGGGGGAGTTCCTGGATGCATCAGTATGGTGCAGTGGTTAGTGTCCAACTAGGATCTGGGAGCCTCGGGTTTGATTCCCTACTCTACCACAGAACCTTGCTGGGTGACCTTGGAGCAGTAACGCACTCTCAGCCTAACCTATCTCACAGGGTTGCTGAGAGGATAAAACAGAGAAGAACGATGTAAGCCACTCTGGCTCCCCATTGGGAAGAAAAGTGGGCTATAAATGAAGTAAATAAAGAAATAAATACTAGCTGAAGCGGAGGACAAGAAAAAAAGCTTTTAAGAAGAAAGGTGCCAGGGGACAGCATAGATGAGGCTGCCATACACCGAATCAAACCATCTGTCCATCAAAGTCAGTATTGTCTACTCAGACTGGCAACAGCTTTCCAGGGGCATGAACCGGGAAAATGGAGCTTTGTGAAGGTTCATGATTTCTGTAGTCACACGAGCCTCCACAAACTTTTCCATTTAACGAACCTACTTAAAGTTCGTGGTTCGTGATGTGGCGTGGCTTGCAAAAGCCATTTAAAGGCTTCCCTTTAAATGGCTTTTGCAAGCTCAGTCACGCTGCGGTGGTGGCATGGTTTACAAAAGCCATTTAAAGAGTTTCCTTTAAATGGCTTTTCCAAGCTGTGGTGGCGTGACTCGCTAGTGAACTCAGAAGGGCGCACCAGCATGTCTGCCGAGACAAACTACATGACCCTCCCAAAGCCATCTGAGAGGGTCATGGGAGGGTTGTGGGGGTGGGATGGCATGAACCGAGGTTCACGAACCATGAACTGAGCCTGGTTCATGAATAATTTCGGTTCATATTTTGGTTCATTCCCATCCCTACTCCAGGGTCTCAGCCAGAGGTCTTTCACATCACCTACTGCCTGGTCCTTTTTAACTGGAGATGCTGGGACTGAACCTGGGACCTTCTGTATGGAAGGTAGAGGCTCTTCCACTGAGCCATAGCATACATTCTATAAGATCTAGGAGCTTCAAACAGAGTGGCAACCTGTGAAGCCAGTCAGAGAACCACAGGCTTCCATTAACCAGCAGACTCCCTCCCCTACTTATGGAGGGAAAGACTCCCAGAAAATAAGCAACTAGGGCACTACTTGGCCACCCAAGAGCAGGAGGCCATTTCCAGAATTTTGCAGCTCAGTCAGTATCACTGCTGGCCAGTAGAGTCAGTCTGGAAAGCCTGATCTTCGACGTGGTCTCTGTGCTTCTTCACACCCATGGGATCTAGTTCGCATGTGCTGGATTGATCGGTGCTGTAGCAAGCTCTTTTAACGGATTTTCGCGCCCAGACCTCAGGCATGCGCAGGAACCCCATCGCGCATGCCCAGAGGGGTGGGCGTGGACATCCCGCCAGTTCCTTTCTTACCGCCACGTTGGAAAGACCTTTTTCTTCGTTGGTCTTATCAGTTCGCGTGTTTTGGCTTTTTGCCTCACGGCTCTTTGGAATTTTCCTCAGTTTATTCTTTTTCTTCGTCGTTCTTTCAAAAAACTTTTAAAAAACCACCTTTTATTTTCTGCTGAGGGGGAGGTTGCCGCTTTACCTCAGTCGGGCCTTCGGGCTACCCCCCCACACCCCTTCTTTCTTCTTCATTTTGCATTTTATGAAGAAGAAGTGGGGCTTTTTTAATAGGTGCAAGGGTTGTGGTAGTAAACTTGCTCCTCCTGACCGTCATACCCTTTGCATACTTTGTCTCGGAGAGTCTCATCGACCTGAATCTTGTCGCCACTGTGCTCGCTTTTGAAACCAGACCCGGAAAAACCGAGCTGCGCGCCTTAAATTGGCCCTGCTATAATCGGCTCTACATCCTTCCTCAGCGATGGACGCCGAGAAACCATCGACCTCAACAGCTGCGGCATC